TGGTGCGGCCTGCCCCGTTCCAAGGGTTGCAATCCCCATACCGGTCAAAAAAAAAAAAAAAAAAAAAAGTCTCCTGTACATTTCTAAATTTCTTTGTTGTCTTAGAATGAATTCTACAAAGAGAAAAGTACTAACTTCAAATTCCACTTCCAAACAGCAATCTCAGTCCCTGAACTTGAAGCCCTTGGTTCACTTAACCTTGACAACATGAGTCTCCTGGTCCTTCTACAAAGTCTAGAACTCCTTTTCCATTCCCTATGCTAGGTCTGCCTCAGATTCATAATTTCTGATGTGGTGGTTCAGAAGGTTCATACCTGGAACTCTTTTCTTACTTCCTTATCAACTTCCTATGTAATATCCTGCACTGTGGGATTCTGCCAAGGATCCCCCCCAGAAACAAGGCCCTTACCACATGTAGCCCCTAGACAATGGAATGCTCAGCCCCCAGAAGAGAACAGTAAGAGACATGGTTTGTTTCTTCATAAATTACCCAGTTTCAGATATTCTGTTTTAAGCAACACAAAAGGACAGAGTCTGAAAAACCATGTTCATGAGAATGCTGGACAGGAGGGCAACTGAGAATATTGAAAAATTAGATAGCAAAAATAAATGTCAAAGAAGAGAAATGTAGGGATTATATTTTAGGAAAATACATTGGTAAAAAACAGCAAAATAAAGTATAGATATACGTGTAAATTCATCTAAGAGACTATATAATACATGTTTTTAATGCAAGGAGATAAGCCAGCCTCAGCTCAGGCACCTGTGGAAAAACTGCTAGAAATAGCTGAACACAGCCAAGATCTGCTGGGTTTTACTTTTCCTGGCCTCTGCCCATTATGTGCTTACTAACCTGGGAGGCTCTGGTTTGGATGTTCTTTTGTTATCCATGGCTCTGCTCCTTTGTCCAACTTGAGGATCACCTCAGGTTTACTAATGCAGTGCCCTGTTAATGGGAAGTAACATAGGACTTTATAAAACTGCAAGGCGAGATCCTTGTAAGAATGATAAGAGCTCAGCTCCAGAGATTATGTGATAAAGAGGACAACTTCAATCTTTTGTTAGATAGGGATGACATGTTTTTCATGAAATGTAGTCTTACCAAACAGCATAAAACCCTATATACCACTCTATTTTTATAAAAAAAATAACAAAATGTTTCTCCTGAAAGTTACTGGGGAGGTTCACTCACCCAATGACACCAAGCTGTTGTAGGTCTCCAGCATCACATCCCTGTACAAAGTCCTCTGAGCATCGTTCAAGTCCTGCCACTCCTCCCAGGTGAAGTACACAGCCACATCCTCAAATGACACCAACTCCTATAATGGCACATTGATCTCAATTCAAGCCACCAGCCCTGAGCCACAAAACAGGAATCTCAGAGTTCACATTTCTCTGAGGATGAGTGTCTTACGTGTTAAGTAAGGTACTTCTTTCTATACTCCATATAGTGGAGAGGAAAAAAAAAAAAAAAAAGCAGAAATATCCTGTCACTGTAATAATATATTAATTACTAAAATTTTGATTACAAAGCTTACCTAAGAACCATCCTTTTTGCTAGTGACAGAACTATGAATAAAATCCTGCTTCTCCAAGAAGTTTATAATCAGGTTTGAAGACATAAGTATGAATACATACCTGAATCAGTGTGTCAAATTAACAAATATTGACAGACATTCAATGGAAAATGGGGTAAGACCAAATATATTTCTATGTTGCATTCTGTATGCACTTCACTGAAATGCCAAAGATGTTAAGCTCCTCCGTGTGAACCACATGTTCTCATGAGTATGAGGCAATAGTAAAACTGCACTCACAAGAGCAAAGGAAGACATCCCATGTTAATGGAACTACACACAGCACCGTGTCTAAGTAAATGATCATGGGCAGTGATAACAGATAACCACACTACTAAAAAAACACATCATGGAATGCTTCTGCATGTAAATATTTTTCTATTGTAAAAAGTAAAACATTATATGCAACTGCTGTTTTTAATTACTTATAAACTAAAAGCATATTCAAAGGCACTCCAAAATATCCTTCCCACATGAAAAAGGATTATGTCTGCATGAGAGTGAACACTGCAACTTTCAAACACAGGGTGTAAATAATGTGGTTTTGTAAATACAAATCAGTTACATACTATATTTACAATTTAGCAGTCATCCACTAGAAGGAGAATGGAAAAAACTTTAGAGGGAGTCAGAGCAGAAGAAAACAGGGTGGTTGAAGACCAGCTGCCTTAGAACATACAGCAAGGCTGGTGAGGTAGTTCTCTTGGGAGACCATGCTTCTGGTAACACTAAGGTCACAGGTTCAGATGCCCCTACAGGCCACTGAGTAGAAAATAAATAACAGAGCAGTAAGCATAGAGAAGAAGAAAGTAGTACAGAAACAAGAAGCAGGAAGACACTGTGCTACTGAATTCCTGGGCAGAAATTAAAAGTGTTTTACTCTCAGGATCTCTACATAATCACAGCTAGTTATGTACTGGCACTTTAAAGTGTAGTCTTTACAATGACAGAGTATTTTATATTTATCTGAAATAAAACAGACTTGAATACATTGTACCTGAAATATCTGTGGGAATGTCCAAATGGCAATTGGATACATGATTCCAGAGTGCAAGAGAAATATGTAAGCTGAAGACAAAGACTGGAAATGTATTAGTCCATTTCTGTTGCTTATAAGAAAATACCTGGAACTGGGTGATGTCAGAAAACAAAATTTACTCCTTGCAGATTCAAAAGCTGGGGAGTCAAAAGTCCAGGGAACACAGCTGGTGAAGGCCTTGGTGGAAATGACAGTGACCCAGGGGTCTCACATGGCAGAAAATGGCATGGCAGAGGTCAAGCTCTCATGTGTTCTTCTTTTAAAGCACTCAGACAGAATCCCTGTCTACCATTATTAATTCATTCATTATGGTATGGTCCTACAATCTAATCACATCATTAAGGCCCTGTGTTTCAATTACCTTGATAGGATTTCTCACCAACTTTAACACTAAGAGTGGGGGTCAAGTTTTGGGGGGACATTCAGTCTAAGGCAGAGAAATGTCAAAATTTTGATGTTACCTGAAGCCATCAGAATGAATAAGCAAAAACCTAAGACATTCCATGTAAAAACATAACAAAACAAAATAACAAGGATGGAGTCCACAGAAGCACTTATCTATAAAAATAAGACAGAGGAAAAGAAATAGAATGGAAGAACAAAAAGAAATGTTCTAAATTCATTCCACAATTAAAGGAAAGCTCAGTATTAAATAGTCTACCAATATAATTCATTATATGTATATATATTTGCATTTGGTCTGTTTGAAAATCCAACATATTCATAGTTCTATGAGTGAAAATCCTTCAAATAATCATATAGATATTAGAAAGGTACACGGTGGGCAGGCAACTGAAAAGCATACACACACTAGAAAAAGACAAAAAGAACAGAATATAATATGTGAATTGTGTTGGACAATGTCAAAAGGTGTAAGACAGAGTAATGAGAAAACCAGCAGAAGAGGAGAGATGGAGGAAAAAAATAGAAGAAACACTTAAAACAATAATGTCTGAGAACTTCCACAAATCAATATCAGGCACCAAACCAAAGATTAAGGGAGTTAAGATAACACAGAACCAGATAAATGCCAAAAATCTACATCTAGGCATGTAGTTTTCAAACTTCAGAAAATCAAAAATAATAAAAAATCTGAAGTCAGAGGGAGGAAAAAATATCTTACCTAAAAAGAAACCAGATAAGAATTACACCCAACATCTCCTGAGTATCCATGTATGTAAGGAGAGAGTACAGTGAAATATCCAAATGCTTGATTAAAGAAACCTACAACCTAGAGTCCTGTGCACTATGAAATCAACCTGTAAAAATGAAGAAAAAATAAAGACTCTCAGGGAAACAAAAATTGAGAGAATTTGTTGCCAGTATACCTGCATTGAAAGCAATGTGAAGAAAAACAAACAAACAAAAAAACAGAAGAAAAAAGATATAGGTTAGGATGTGGATATACCTAAGGAGAACTAAAGGAATAAGTGAAGGTACAATAAAAACTGTTTTTTTCATTGCAACATAGTTAATTGTACGTATCTTTGAGGTAAAGAATTGGATATCATGATGTGTGCAATATGTGATGTTCAAATCAGGATAATTAGGATATTCTTCATTATACAGTGTAATCAATTTTTGTGACTCTTTACAAATACCTCTCTCTTCCACCATCTCCCTGATCATTTCCTCTGTCTTGTAACATCAGTTCTGTCTTCTACTCTTGAAGTTCAATGCAATACTGTGATTCTTGTATATTTCTTTTATTTTTTTAATTACTTATTTTCTTAGCTGCCACATATAAGTGAGGACATGCAAAATTTTTCTTTCTGTACCTGGCTTATTTTACCTTACATAATTTTTTCTAAGTTCATCAAAGTTGCTGTGAATGGCAATATTTCATTCTTTTTAAAGGCAGAGTAGTACTACGTTGTATAAATATACCACATTTTCCATATCCAGTCATCCGTTAATGGACATTTAGGTTAATTCCAACTCTTGCCTGCTGCAAATAGAGCTGCAATTAACATGGGAGTACAGGTGTCTCTTCCACATGATTATTTCCAATCATTTGAATGTATACCCAGGAGTAAGATTACTGAGTCATATGGCAGTTCTATCTGTAGTTGCTTGAAAAACTTCCAGAGGGTTTTCGATAATGGTTGCACCAATTTACAGTCCCACCAACAGTATAGGAGAGTTCCTCTTTCTCTGCATTCTCACCAGCATTTGTTATTCTCCACCTTTTTCATAGTAGCCAGTCTAAATGCAATGACATGATATTTCAGTGTGGCTTTGATTTAAACTTCCTGGATGCTGAGTGATGTTGAGCATTTTCTCCTGTATCTGTTGGTCATTTGTATATCTTCCTTGTGGAAATGCCTATTCAACTCCATTGCCCATTTTAAAAATCAGACTATTTGTTATTCTACTTTTAAATTGTGAGTTACCTGTATATTCCGGATATTGATCCTTCATCAAAAGCATAGTTTACAAATAATTTCTTCCACTCTGTAGGTTGTCCTTTTCCTCTGTTGTTTCTTGTCCTGTGCAGCAGCTCTTTAATTTGATATAATCCCATTTATTTTTTCTTTTGTTGCCTATGCTATAGGGATCATATTCATAAAGTCTTTGCCCAGTTCTACTTCCTGCAGTGTTTCCCTTATAATTCCTTTTAGGAGTTTTATAGTTTCAGATCTTACATTTAAGTTTTTAACCCATTCTTCCAATCCAAGACTATGGAATATCTTTCCAACTCTTGTTGTCTTTAACTTCTTTCAACAATGATTTGTAGATTACATTGTAGAGCTATTTCACATCCTTCACTGACTGTATTCCAAGGTATTTTATTTTGGCGGTTACTATTTAAGTGGAATATAGCTTTCTTGTTTTTTTTTCTGCTAGTTCAAAAACACTAGTGATTTTTGCATATTGATGTATCCTGCTACTTTACTGAAATTGTTTACTGACTCTACGAGATTTTTGGAAACTTTTTAGGCTTTTCTGTATGATGATATCAGTAAAAAGGGACAAGTTGACTTTCTCTTTTCTGTTTGGGATGCCCTTGCTTTCTTTCTCTTGCCTGATTCCTCCAGCTAGTACTTCCTGTACTATGTTAAATAACAAATGAAGGTAGATATCCTTGTCTTGTTCCCATTCTTAAGGAAAAGCTTTCAATTTCTCCCCATTCAGAATGACAATGTATTAGGTTGTCATATATTGCTTTTATCATGTTGAGAAACTTTCTTTCTATACCTAATTTGCTGACACTCTTTACCATGAAGTGATGTTGAATTTTGTCAAATGCTTCTTCAATGTCTGTTTAGATAATTGTTTTAGTCCATTTTGTGTTGCTATAACAATAATCATATGGTTTTTCTCCCTGATTTTGTTGATGGAGTGTATCACATTTACTTACTTGTGTATGTTGAACAATTCTTGCATCCCTGGGTTGAATCCTACTTGATCATGATGTATAATTTTTGGATGTGTTGCTGTATTCTATTTCCTAATATTTTATTGATGATTTTCCCATCTATAGTCATCAAATATATCAGCCTATACGTTATTTTTCAGTGGTGTCTTTATCGACTTTTGGGATAAGGGTGATGTTTGCCTCATAGAATGAATTTGGGAAAATGACGTCTGTCTCAATTTTTTGGAATAGTTTCAAGAGATTCGGAATTAATTCCTCTTTAAAGGTTTGGTAGAATTCAGCAGTAAAGACATCTGGTCCTGACATTTTCTTTGTTGGGAGATT